TTCATGTTGTTTCTTGTCTCGGCTCCCCTGAAATTGTCTTAGGTCGGTGTGTTGTGGGGAAGTGTGGATAAAGGATATATATGATATTATTTTATCGGATGATCGCTTATTGTAAGACCACAAAACACAAAGGTACGCTGAACTTTACTTACATGAATTTACCATTTATAGGATGAGCAGGGCACACAATGTAGGGGCATATTGGTTATTATAAATGTGTTTATTTATTATGAATGTACTTTGTTTGATATTTGTGACATCCAAACACAGTGGTATGCTCGGTTAAAGAGAATGTGTGGCCCTGGGTATTTCAATACTTTTGTATAGTATAACAGATCTTGTGCCAACATCGGTGTACCTGCCATTTGGTACTAGTGGATTCAAGTTTGGGAGCTGGGTCGATGTTGTAACCAGTGCCGATGACAAGATTTTGTGCCAAATCGTGGTGTACCTATGTGGAATGGGGAGAGGCCCACATGGGCAGCGCCTATAACTTTAACTTACTGATGTATTTTTTGGTGCTTCGTATAGGCATACGATGCTTACCTGGCTATTACGATCCCTTTATCTTCCCTCTGTTTCCCTTATTCGCCCTTTGTCTCCTTTTCTGTTTCCTTTTGCTCTTGCCTGCAGCTGCTACTTGGCTTGGTTTCCTCTTCTGCTCCACCGCTGAAAGCTCTTGAGTTTTATTGTTCTGAAAAGAATGCAAAAGCGTGTGGCTACCAAAGAGTATGTTAGGAAACTTAGGGGGTTAGTCTCCCAAAATTTGATTTCGAACCTCGTTTGTACCTCGTTCGGACCTCGTTTAAATTGCAGCCAGTCAAAACCCAGCCCGGAGAGGTTTTGGAAAGGCTTTGCAATGGTCTGCTGCTTAGTCTGCTGCTGCTGCTGCTGTTGTTGCTTGTGCTGCTGCTTCTGGGCAAGGCGCGGTTTTTGAGAGGAGAACGAAAAGATTTATAAAAGGACTGGAAGTTGTGCGGAAGAAACCAAAAGCATAAGAATATTACCTGGAAGTACCATGGGGAAGTGGATGAAAGGGTTGATTGACATGAAGTAGAATTTATCATAGAAACCATAGGAATGTGACATTAATTACATCTAAATTTGTATGTTGGAATGCCATGAAACTTGGTGTGCTATGTGGAGGATGATAGTTCTGATTGTTTAAATAGGAATATGGTTACCAATTTTTGGTTAATAAACTTACATTAAACGCATAGTATTGCCTGCTTCAGAGTTAGTCCACTTTGACCGTCGGTGTGCCAATGGGATTTCCACCTGGCGGAAGATTATTGATGTCTGGCGTAAGCAAGGTGCCATGCGGCTGGCGCAAGTTCTAGTAAATGGCGTAGGATCACGCCGGGGCTCGGGTCAGAGATGCTTTGCACGACTTATTTCGTACTAGGTGTGCTATTGGGAAACAGATAGTTAAAGTACCGAAATCAAACGAATCCATGTCCAGAGTCATGACAAGAAAACGGGGCGTGTATTGTAGAATTGGCTTCTTTTCTTATTTGGATGGAAAGCAGCTGTTTTGTTGTTAATGCGTGTGTGCTAATGGCGGTTGCCAACTTTCAACATGATTTTATCACCGAAGGAAATGGTATTAAATATGTGTTTCGCAATGGCACGGACATATTTTGACTACTTTGTTTGCCAAACTAACGATGGCGTGGTGCTAATGTGCCAATAGGATTTGGTCCCTGGGGTAACTTCCGGTTTGCCTGGGGTAACCCTGTGTGCCATGGGGATGGGGTAACTTCTGGGTGCCTGGGGTAAGAAATGACGTCCGTCTAGTATTATATATTATTATTAATTTAATATTAATATTTTTATTTCTTTAAAATTATTTACCCTAAATTTATATTTAGATAATTTGATTTTGAATTAGTTGAGTATTTATAACCTAAATAATAGTAATTTATTAAGCGCGAGTGATGGAAAAATTATAAAAATAAAAATGGTAAAAACATATAAAAACCAAAAATAAATTTTAAAAAAACATTGAAAAAAATGGGATAATTTTTTTTAATTTTGTTTTGTATTATATTTGCTAATAATATATTTTGTTATTGTGAAATTTTAGGTAAAATTCTAATATTTATAGAAAAATATAATTGTAAATAGAGTTTTGGTAGCCGGACATTGGGCTGAGGGGACTGATGACAGGAAAAACCCCTTTAAAAGGAAAAAAAATGCCAATGGTAATATTCTCCTTTAGGGAGTAAACCTTGACAAATATTATCCAAGGGGTAAGGAATTATTTGACGTGGGAAAAGGAACTAACCCCCCCGCCAGGCGTGCAGAGACCTCGCCACAAGAAGCAAACAGCAAGGTCAAGGGAAATAACACTGGTATTGCGGGCACACGCGAAGCAACAGCAGCAGGCGCAGCCGCGAAACATCAGCGCGGAAAACACCGGCATTGTAACTGCTCCATTGCACAGCTGCCGCGAGAAGGCACGCGTGGTTAAAAGGCATAAGGAGCGCAAACCGTATGCATAGGTAATCTTAAACACACGTGATCATAAAGGCTCGACCTTAGTGAAGGAAGGGGCTGAAAGACTCAACCGCTGCCTCTATTTGAGACAAGCTCCGTGGAAGCCTCGCTGCAAATTAATGCTAATGCGTTCTTGCAGCTGTTGCCAGGTTTGTCCTGGGGGAAGGTTTTCACGGGAATCAACTAGCTTAGCCAATGATTGGAGGAGTGCAGCAGTTTCCCCCCCCGAAACCACCAGTATTTTCTAGAATCATAGGTTTAAACCCCAAATTTTGCCGGGCGCATCTTTGTTGTATGTTAGCGTGGTGTCGTTTGAGGTCTATGTACCGGTCGGCCGCTGCCAACGGGATGGAGGCTGAGGGCCGCATTACGGAGTTCTGAAACGGGGAGGTTATGGCACAGTCCAATGCAAGTTTAGGGAACCTTTTCCATGAGGATTGTTGAATATTAGGCAACGAAATGAGCGCTTGGGGTAAGTCAGGAAGGAGATTGGTGGGTTCTAGGGCAGGCCGGGCGTTGGCATGTGCCGCCAAACGGTAAACCACATTTCTGAATGAGGTATATATGACTTGTTTGTGCCCTTATCCCATATAATTTATATTATGGTGACTATACGCTTCCATATGATTTTGACAGAAAGAACAAGCCCGTCCGTCCTCAAATACCCGAATTCCCAACCGCATAGAAAGGCTATCTCGAAACACAGCGTTGGAAAGAAGAGTGTCTTGATTCCAGCTAGGAATGGCTTTGGCTTTCAACCAAGAATCTGCTGAAGGGGCTGCAACCGCAATCAACCTGGCCTATCCAACCCGATCCTGTTGTTGCACTAACCCTGAATACATTTGGTGGGGAAGACATTGCAATATGGTTTTGTAATTAATTTGAACATGGGGGTCTTGTAAAATATTACCAAGTTCAGGTAAACAAGCAGTTAAGTGGCGCACTGCTGGTCCCTCGCAATCGTGCAAGTTGGGGGCGGGTTGGGGGCTGAACAGCTGTTGGATAGAAGGGCCACAGCGCCTGTGCGATACTAGAAAGCCAACATCAGCCAAAGAAACAACATCTAACCCAATTTCCGTGCGGATTGAAACTAAACCTGCCCCTCCCAATTTAGTGTGTAGCTTGGCCTGGGTCCATTGATGGTTATTCAAAGGGCTTCCCAAAAATGTTTCCAGGGTTCGTTTCTGGCGGTCGTGGAAATCTTGCAACAGTACAGAGAGGTGGTCCCGTGGGGTGGTACGGTAGTAGCATTGCAGTTTCGACACAATACCCCCACAACGAAACAGGTAGTAGGCCACATGAGGCAATGTTTCTAACATGGTACAAAGGGAATCAAACTCCTGAAATTTTTGGTAGAGAAAGTCGCGTAGAAAAGCCGGATTGTCTCCTATGGGGGCTTTTAACATCATAACATCCCCTCCAGTGACAACTTTGACGCCTAAGGCTTGGAAACGTGAAACATCCCCCCGAAACTGGTCCGCAGCTAATAAGTACAAAATAAATTTACTAGGATCCACGTGCAAACCATATTTGTGAGCGAATTGAAATTCGTGGTGGAAAATCTCAAATCCATCATCAAGATTACCCCCCGAAAAGGCATTATCAGCAAACACCGATTTAAAGTCTGACGGGGACCTGGAACTAAGCCTACGCACTTCCTCCACCATTCGCTGCCGGGTGAGGCAAAAAAGTGGCCCTATAATGGGACAACCTTGTTGTACCCGACTACAACGTTCAACCGTCCCTTGGTAAACCAAATTGGTGGGGTTCCTATAACAATAGGTTGCGAATCGTGCGGACGCAGGGGCGTGCTGTTGAATATCCTGAAGAAATTTATGGGGAAGTAACTCATTGAAAGCATTCTTGATGTCTTTTTGTAAAAGGCCGTAATTGTTTCGTTGTCTATGGTTGTTTAGTATTACTGGTAGTGGTCTTGAGTATTTAGGCTTGTAGTTTTGAGTATTTAGGGTAATGATTATAGGTTTTGCCGCCGGTGCTTGCTGATGAAAAGCTATTCTTTTCTTTATTCCAAGTATCATTTTCACCTTTTCGCGTAGTATTTCAATGGAGATTGAGCCGGTTACATTGGAATATTTTTATTTTATATCCGTTTAATAAATCTTTGAATTTGTTATTTATTGCTTCTATAAAACTTTTGCAGTCAATTATGGGGCTTGGGATTTTGATTTGGGGACATCAATTTGGATCCTTTGAGCCCCATATTATACCCATACGAAATTATAGCTATATAAATATATATATATATAGGTACACGTATATGATTATATAACTATATAACATATATGTGTTTGTGTATTTGTATTCAGATATATATATATATCATGTGATATAATACCAACATATACTTCCTTCATACTAAATATAATTAATTAAAATATGTTTAAGATAATAGAGAATAACACAGCATTCCCATCTCTGCAGACACACACACACACACCAAGAGGTGGTTCAGGGTGATAGATAGATATAGACAATTGTATATATATATATGTGTGTGTATCGAATTCATATTGAATCCGATGAAATATGTATATTCATAAGTTATATATTCACATACATACATATATATATATATCAGACCTACAAACATATATATATATATTTACATATATACATATGTCTTTTATGTGTCTGTGTATACATACCTGGATAGAAACACATATATGTATATATGTATGATATTTATATTATATATATATATGGCAGGATAATATTTCCCATGCAAGATTTAATTCCCAAAAAACTTGAGAATATATGTTAGAGGACCTAGAGTCCATCAATTAAACGGGGCATACTTTGAATTCAGTGTCCTGA